GTCCCACTGCGGGTTACAGGATAGCTTGGGTGGTTGGGACATCTCCTGGGCTTTGGGGTCAAGGTATCACAGTCCCTGAGAGCTGAAATCTTGCAGTCTCAACTTGTGGAGGCTTCAAGAAGACAAACAGGTTGGTGCGATTCTCACCAGAATGTACTGGAGCAAAATGAACATTGCGACATTTCAGAAAGAGAGATTTGAACTGAAGGGCGTTGCTCAATTGTACTCCGCTAACCAGAATACGTGGATATGTTTTATATTTAAACTGCTGACTGTTAGAACAGTTTTCATCAAAATGTGGCTGGAAGACTGTCAAGCAGATGTGCACGAAGAAATCTTAATTATGCAATGTTTTTCTTTGGCCTGAGAGGCTTCAGTGTGTGATTTTTGGCCCAGCGCTGGGTGACTCTATGTGTGGCTGGGCACGAACGCTTGCCGTTCTGCTCCCTGGCAAGCCACAGGCTCTGAAGGGTGATTTGTTCTGGCTGCGCAAGCCCGGTGGGTCATCAGGGCTTAGGCAGGCCGGGTGTATGGCCGTTGGGATCTCCTGTTGTTCCAGCTTGATTGACGCTGTTCTTGATTCAGACTGTTAAGGAGTTTACCCCGCAGTAAGAACGTTAATTGAAGAGCTGTTCGCAGACGTTCACTAGTTTGGGCAATGTGTTTTTAGGCTCTTGTGTGCAAAAGCCCTAATAAAACTGCTGTTCTGAAGTGTGTGTACCGACACCCTGATCTGTTCCTCTGCAGTGCGTGCCTCGGTGTAGGGGCAGGATTCCCACCAGCATTAAGGGGGTCTCTCTCCCTCCCAGTCCTCGCAGACCCTTACTTTGGGGATATTACTTCAAGCACATGTCCCGAGCTCTTTCTGAAAGCGTACTTAGCCATTTCTCTCCTGGGTTTCAAAAGATGCTCGAGACATCTTTATTCTTTATCACAGTCAGGCTTCTTCAAGTGAGGTCATAATCTTTTATGAGATCAGTTAATACCGGTTGGGTAAGCGGAAAGGCTTTTAGGCAGAGTCTGCCTTTAAGGCTGGGCATGTATGTTAATAACTCTAGAAAGAGGGATTAGCAGCTCATTCCTATGAGGTTGTGGAGAAGGAAGGAATGTGTAGAGCTCCTTTTTGATAACAGTTGAGCTTCTGAACAGTCTAAGAGTGTAAAGTTTGTTGTAGATTCTCATATGTCTGATGAGGTGAAGGTTCTTGTTGGCTAGTGCTCCAGTGACCTGCTCTGACTGCAAGAGGCACGCCAGCAAAACCAGCATGGACGCTAAGCACGACCTCTCCTTAGGAGCCCACAGGAGTGAAGAGATCCGGTCCTAAGTCACCTTCTCTGTAGAATCACAAAGACTTCAAAGTTCAGGGCTGTGCTGGTGCCCAACTTGGCTTTTAGGAGAGTGCTTAGTTGGCATCCATTAGCAGTAGAGTTGTCAATATAAACACTAATTACACTCCTTTCTCAGAGAGGCTGTGCTGGGATCAGCAGTTCTGCTGTTCTCTGTTCCCATCCCCTCCATGCAGCCGTCTGAAGTTGGGTATAAGCGCAGGAAGTCGTGACTGGAGCCCCTGTGGGTCATCCTCTGCAGCCCAGTTCCACGACTGGGATTTCACACCGTACGTGCGCAGGCTTTGACTTGCCTGACCTGCCTATTTCACATGGGGTGGCAGGGTAAAACGGTGATGCATCAGCTATGATTTTCTTTTTTAGGGTTTTAATTTCTTTCTGTTTTTTTTTTCTGTTCTGTTTTCCTTGAAGGTCTCCAAGTTGCCAAATCTCCGCTCCCTAAGTCAGCTCCTCCTTCTTGACATCATAGAGTCATTAGCTAACCACATATCAGACAAGCAGTGCGCAGAGCTGGGCTCAGACATATGACATGCTTTGGTAATCAAACTTTTAATTTGTTCCGCAAAAAAAATAGCACTTTACGACCGACTGTTTTTTTTATCATTCCTTATTGAGCTGCTCAGAGTGTCTACACAATATAGCGGGTGGCCCAGAGGAGCGTGGACAGCTGACTTGCTCTCCTGTGGATTTGTGTGGTTTGTACCTTTGTGAGGAAGGGTTTGGTCTCTGTTATGCAAATGTAAAATTGAAACCATTACAGGAATGAATTTATTCCACGTGGTTTTGGGAGTAACTAATTTCAGAATCAAGCCCATTATTACTTTTCTACTGTAAAATAAAGCCATCATGAGTAAGAGAGTCATTAACACTTTGAAATGCAATATTTAAAGAATACTATTTAAAGAACTTCAGCTGACACAGCCAGAGGCTGTAAGGGGAAGTCAGATATAACACAACTGGAAACAGAGGGCATGGTGTTCACAGTGAGGCTGACCGTTGGACCAGAATGTAGTGACTTTTCAGAGGCTCTCCATGGCGTGGATTAAAAGATAAGCCCTTTGCAACTGCCTCGGTTGGTGGGCTGCAGGAAGTCCAGACTTGTGCTCTGCAGCGGGTCAGACTAGAAGATTACAGCGGTCCTTTCTGACCATCAAATCCATTAATCCTGTCTTGCTAAGCCTTTCTAAATCAATTTATTAATAAAGAGTTAACATCTTCTCCTGGCATTTCATGATTGACTTGGCTTTCATTTTGGAAAAAATTAAGCAAAAAGAGCTCCGAGCTTGATGAAGGTCACTTGGTTAAAAATAAGTGCGCTACATCTTGTTACTAATTTTATGCTGAAGTGTCTTCATTAGTCGTTGCCTTTGCAGGAAGGTGAACGAAGGCAGAGCGCCCTTCCCAGCCAGTTCAGAAGCAGCTGCTGTTCCCCCTCCCCGGCTGCAGCTCCTCAGCCCCGCACCGTGCTGGATGCTTCCCACACTGCAGAGGGGAGAGGAGCTTCACCTCTCCCCGGCTGCTGAATGAATCAGCTTGGTTGGGAAGCGTTGGAGATCAACTGGTGTTGGTGAAACGTCTACTGGCAGAACTGCTCCCCAGCCTTGCTGAAAGCCACCAAGGCAACCCAGAGGAGGGAGCGAAACTGAGAATCAAAATCTTGTCCTGCCTTAAGCTGCACCGCTTCGCAGAGGTGAAGCAGCGCTGATGTGGTGCTGCTCTCTGCTTGGCTGGAATGGCAAGAGTTGGCTTGAGCTGGAGCGGTGGAAGATCCCTCCTGAGAAGCGCAGCTGCCCAGCCCCTCTGTTTCCACCTTTGTGGCCATAACTTTTAATTCAGGCCAGTAACGCGTTCCCAGCGCAGTACAAGAGCGGTGGAAGATCCCTCCTGAGAAGCGCAGCTGCCCAGCCCCTCTGTTTCCACCTTTGTGGCCATAATTCAGGCCAGTAACGCGTTCCCAGCACAGTACAAGTTGTGAGCTCATGTTCAGCATCCTGTAGCATGACATGTATGTGCGGGCTTTGGTATGCTGAGGGCGTTGCAGTCTCTGTGCAATGGAGAATGTGTTGTTTCATTTAATCTAAGGGAAGTGCTTTAGGGACCACTTGATCTGACTCCCAGCTTGCTCAGGTGAGTCAGAGCAGAGATGGCAGATGCATCTGAGAGCCAAGGGCTCATTGTCAACCAGAAGGATTATTTCCAGATGCCTCATAGGTAATGAAGTCTCTCATCAGAGGTGATGTTAATTGTACTGACAGTCTGCACGTTCCCTGGGAAACCGGAAGATCTGCAAATGGAGAAAGTTATATGCTACAACTTGTAAGAATACTACAAGTTATTTTCAGCAATGCTGAATCCACTAGAGGACACCCATTTCCCAAACATGCACAGCTTCCTTCTCAGTAAGGAAGAATGGGCTGATCTCAACCGTGCCCTAATCAGCCCCTTTGACTCCATTTTCTCAAACTATTTGGGGTTTGGAGCTTACTCGTGAGTGCATCCGCAAGGAAATGCGCAGCCTCTGCACCCTCTGAGCAGAGGCACTGTGGGCATCTTTGCTTTGGAGGTGGTTTTGGCTTAGTCCCAGCTGTAGTGACTGTAGTGCTCAGAGTTGCGTTGCGTTGGTGGGATTTATTGTCTGAAAAATTGTGGTCCACGATGCTGTTATGTCATCGTCGTGATTTGCCTCTGGGCTGCTGTTGTGCAGGGTGCCAGCATTGTGCACCCCTCTGAGAGAGGAGCCCCCTGGGCAAGGCTGAACCCTTCAGCCTGAGCTGTCCCCCCCTTACACCTGGGAGAACAACGGGGGCTGCGGTGGGTCATGTCCCCGCTGCTGCCCCGGTTTGGCCCTGTGGGGCTGGGTCTCAGGAGAAGGATGTGAAAGAAGTGTCAGTACTGTCCGGAGGAAATGGGCCAACCTTCCCGTAGGATCAGGCGGATGCACGGCCCAAAAGGGACAGCCCCACCAGCACCCATCGTTTCCTAAGGGATCTGGGGACGGGAGGTCTGGCAGGAGCAGCTGGCGTTAGAGGAGCTTCTAAGGCAATTGGGTGTTTGCCTTATCGCCACCTCAGAGCATCCTTTTGAGACAGTGGCCTTGAGGGCCTTTATGGCCAGCAAGTTCCCAGGGTTACTCGTGTTAGTGCAGCCTTGGGGCAGTTTTGTACGGGAATTTTGGGGAATGTGCTCATATTCCTGCATTTGATAAGGAGTAAGTAACAGCATGGCTGCCTAGCTTTGTCTAGTCCTACGGTCTCCGCCGTATGTAGGCCACGCTGGCTCTTAAAAGCCCTCAAGTCTTTAATTGTACCGTTGTCCACACTCTGGGATTTATCCCAGCAAACTGCGAAGAGCAGGTCCCAGTAAGCGCATGGCACCACGTCCGTACCCGTTTGGGCTGGTGGCGTCTGCTGTCAGCGCTGGGCTGCTCACCGGAGCAAGGGTCCAGCTCCTGATTGAAGACGCCTGGCTAAAGGCCCGTCAGGCTGCGCAGGGGGCAGAGCCCCCATCCATTACGCTGCTGTTCAGAAATCTGCTCTCGTCACTCCCTTAGTGTCAGGTCCAGGTTTACAGGGTGGTCTTAGCTTTCAACGGTGGCTCCCACCGGGCCTGGGTTCCCCCGGGGCTGTGCAGGGAGGCCGGGTGCCTTCAGCTCCTCCAGCCTGCACAGAGCTGGGCGCAGGTGCGGAGCCCACGCCGGTTTGGTGGCAGCTCTCTGGTGGGACTTGGCACGCTGCCTGCCCCTCTGCAGGGCACTGTCCCCCCCCAAGAGAGGGACAGCAGGAACACACCCCTTTCCCCAACCCCAAAGTGAGCCCCAGTGTGAGG